GGACTAGGGGCATCTTTAGAAACAATCAAGGAGACTGGGTTATTGGCTACAGCAGCAACATTTACCATACTACAAACACCATGGTTGAAATCATTGCCATCAAACAGGGCTTTACTGTTGCTGCTGATCACAATCTCATGCTCCTGGAAGTTTTAACATACTCGATCAGGAAGCAATAAACATGATCACCAATAACCATCTAACCTATAACCCAATTATTTCTCAATGCATATTGTTGATGACGAGGCTGGGCAACCGACTAATAAGGCACGAGTACAGATTGCAAAATAGAGTTGCTGATCCGCTGGCCAAGGAAAGGTCCAAAGGAAGATGTTTTGAAAAGCCTAACATTTTGGTAGTTCCCCCCATATTTGCCATGGATGTTGTCTGGGCAGACATCTCGGGAACTATATTTGCTAGATGTGATAAGGATCATAATATTACTAATAATATAGTTGACTACTGTACTATGAATGGTAGTGCACCAGAAACGTTGCTATATATATAATATGCATCCAATTAACCAATAAAAAAAGAGAAAGTACCTCAAACAGTTCACAAGCTTCATATCCTGATGTGGTCGCAATCATTAGACACAAGAAACTTCTTGTTCTTATCGGTACCACAAGAAAACTTCTAACGTTAACTCGTACATGAGGAAGATAACTTCGTCTCAAAGTTAGAGTAAAGACTTACAAGTTTCTAATCATAATTTAAATTTCACCACATTAAAATAAACAGGAAAATAACACCTGCGCGCAAACCAGAGTTGCCTCCACTGTGATACTTATACATGACCCCCTGTCATCGATGGTTGGTCACTAGGTGTAGAAACTTGTTTTCCCATAACCTTTTCTAGTGAAGGCCACATTTCATGTACAAGCATAACGGATTCTGAAAGCCGATTCAGTAAGTTAATCAATGCAATAACTTCATTCTGTTGAAACTGAAACTGAAAAAATATACAAAACAGAAAACAAAGGCCCCCATCAGTCAATTTGGTTAAGCAGCAAGTAATGAACTAAGAAGAAAGTCAAATGGAAGATGCAGAAATACATGACGAAAATTTAGATCTCTCTCCTCTTCTTTTGGACTTGTAAGAAAATCTAATGAACGCATATTTATGAACACATTAAGCAACCTAAATGAACCAAAACTAGCAGCACCCATATTATGATCTATGGCAAATGTCAACAAGGAAGATGCCAAATGTTGGCCATTAATTCATATAAAACAGAATAAACTGGAAGTTGTTTTAGATGAGGCTAATGTAGGTCATTCATCTGTGGAAGGCTTACCATTTTATGTAAATGTTCCTGAGAATTGACGGAAAATAGGATCTTTAATGCAGTACCAAGACCAAGAAACTGAAGCTTTCCCCAAAGACGACACTTTTCACATCCAATGCAGTCCATCAATGCACTACAATTTTGGTCAGGTACCATAAAGAATATGTTAATGGATGGTATAACACCAAGATGTCCAAGCAGAAGATACTAGTACAATTGTTCATCTTGGTAGCTAATGTATCTAGAAGGAAAAACTACATTCCAAACAAACATGAATCAAATAACATGTATGGTCATGCTCACGAACAAATAACACTAATTCAACAATAACAGTTGAGAGGAAGTAAGATGATATTAAGAACTGGATTTTCCTCATTATGTTTTTCATTTATATATGTTCAATAAAAGAGGAGAACCATTAAGATTCAAAAGAGGGAGGGAAAAAAGGTGTAAACAATTTCTCGAGGTGGTGCATTATTTTGAAACACACGTAGAAGAAGTCTATTCTAGAGAAGTATCAATCAACCAGGATATTGATAGAGAACCTGATATTTCTGAACTGCTTTTGAATTTGCTGCATCAGGTCAGGCTCGCCTTTACCTTTCCACAACCTCACCTCATTAAAAGGTAAAGGACATGCAAATTTCAGTTTGGGATGGTAAACCAATTGCTCAATCCAAGATTGTGTTTTCAGGTCATCCTCAGGGTTTCCAGTATCATATGAAGCCTCGTCCAAGTAGTTTGCTGCCTGCAAAAATATGAAATCAGTTATCTGATTCTTCGAAAATGCTGACAGGTGCATGTAAGATCTTCCAAAAGTAGTGCACTTTTAGAGAATCTGACAACCGACAGGGGTTAGACATCATTTTTAGAGAGTGCAAGCAACACTTCTGTTGCTGCTCCTCTCCCATTAGGGGGGGTGGGGTCAAGCAAGCATATTGATTAAAATACTCACTTTGGTAACCGCGCGGAGCACAAATAGGAAAGTGAAGTATAGGTTGTCAACACGGTCTGGGAATTTTAAGACACGGTCATACATCAAAGTAAGATTCCGTCCCCACTGAATCAGAGGAAAGCCAGAAGAAAACAGGGAATAGTGTCAGTTTGACAATTATCATTGCACAAGGATGCTACTATTGTACAACCTCAGGAAATAACTATTGGCTATAAACATGTGATCATTTCTTCAACAGCCTATATATGTGACAGGATGTTCTGATGTGTTTTACTGTTCTTAAGACAATGAAAATTCATCTTGGCTCCAGTTAACACTAGATAGTAGATAGAAAAGACATGACCAAAAAAATGGAAGTAGCAAGATCATAATACCGTGTTTAATGCTTCATCAAGCAAGTAATCAGCTGCTATATGAATAGAAATTGAGGAGTGAAGGCCAGATATTAATTTATACAATATATTTTTCTCGGGGCAAATCTCTCCAGCTAGATCTGCAGATCATATAACAGATATTTAACACTTCAAAAGCTGATGCAAAACAATTAGAAATCTTCCCAAAGTCATGTACAAAGAAAGAAGTTGAAAAAAAATGTAGAACAAGCAAAACTATTCATACTTAAAAATTTTGCAAATATGATGTTGTTATTGAGATGTGGTAGATTCTGAAGAGGAATCTGGTAACAAGTTCTAATTTTGGAGACCTTTATCAAAATTTGATGTGGTAAAGCTGGAATCCATAAAGAACAAGGCAGCCCATTCCTTCTCTTGTCACATTTCTAGATGCATTTTAAAATGAAAGTAAAAAGTAGATTTAATGGGATTCCAAGAAAACCTTTCTTACACCCATTACTTCAAAAATGCCAAATCTTCTTCATCAACCACATTATAAAGAGCCACACTGTAATGTAGGTTTGTAACAAACAGAAGATTTAACAAATTCTGATACTGCAAACGAAGTTTTAAAACAATTATGATCAACATGATTCATCTGAACTTCAAAAGTCCCCGGAGGAATATGTGCATCTAAAAGATCTTTCATATTGTGCCCATTCCCGAAATTGGTTCTACACATATGACTAGCGACAAGAAAAATAAATGCAATAGCTGAATGGTGATGGGAAGTATTGGTCAGCATGTGACTAAGCACAACAAACTATACAGGCATTATATAAATCAAAGGAAACTAGTACTCCTATAATCTTATAGGTACCAGCTCGCCTATGCATGTTTCTCATATCCATTATAAGTAGCCACTCAAAGACAGAGAGCCAGGAAAAGAACGACAGAGGAGATATAGAAGTTGAACAGTTCCATACGGAAAGAATTAAGAAGTTCAGAGATGAAGATAAATGAATGAACCAGCTTACATTTTGGGCAGTTATCTAGATAAACGGCATCCCATATTCTTTTAGCATATGGACCACTGTATCCAGTGTATCGTTCAGGGTTCAATTGGAGATTAACATATGTCATTTCAGCTGAAAGTAAGAAAACAATATCAATCCTGCTCAATTTCAGAGAATATATTCACTAGTATTTCTGTATGAAGAAACTATTCAATTCATTAAAGAAATAAAAAAGGGATTTAAGATAAAATATATTTTTTTTTCTTTTCTGGTGGTATCCTTCTGAAAAAAATACACACACCCCTTTTGGGTGGGCAGGATTGGAGCTATATACATAACAATAGAAAGTTAACAACCATTATCTGTCTCATTATCATTAGTCCATGGATTGTCCACTTCCACCCAGCCTTTGAATGTTTTGGAGTCTATTGTACGATCAACAGTTCCCTCGGGATTTTCTTCTAGACAGACAAGATTACTTGAAGAATATTGATGACTTTGTGCCTTAAATGGCTCAGGAAATTCTTTTTCTGGGCATTCACATACATTGCAGTCTCGTAAATGGCACTTGCCATCATCTATCCAGAATGGACAATCACACCACAACTTAACCTGAAAACGTAAAATACAACAGGACAAAAATGGAACTGGATTAACAACGGCAAGTAAGAATATCAGAAATATGAGCACTGAATTATGAGACAGTATAAAATAGGAAAGAAGCAAGTGACGATAGCATAAACAGTAGGCTGCAGTAACTCTCTTTGGAACCGGAGATTATGTCATTAAACTATAAATTAAATCAAATGCATTAAGTTATAAGAGAATCACAATCCTTCTTTAAGAATGGAAAAGAAAGTATAAAGATGGAAATTTAGAAGCAAAGGATAGGACTAGTTAATTGGCATTTAGGAAACCATATCAGAGGATCAGTAACTAAGAAGGATCAATTAATTCCCATAAGCAGAAGACTTGAAAGGGCAGCCCTGGTGCACTAAGCTCCTGCTATGCGCAGGGTTCAAGAAGAGTCGAACCACAAGGGTCTATTGTATGTCAAAACAGATCTGTAGAATACAGATCCATCAATCAACATAATATGTGAGAGAGAAGCAAGATGTGAAATATCAATATGGCTTCTACACAAAAGAGCATAGCTTAGCTTCGATCACTCTTCTTAGTACTTCACCAGTAATAGTCAAGGACTATCAAATACTTGAATGCAGTTTGATGTCAAGATACAAAGAACACTGATCTTTCATAGCAGTGCACTATACTTAAAAAAGAAAACTATCAAGAAAGTGTGAATTTATAAAGTTGATTTTTTGGAACTACAAAAAATCCTAGATTTTTAGGAAGTTTCTAGAATAATCTAGTGTAGTCACTTGGATAAGTATCTTGTAGAAATATCTGGATATTCTAGAGTAGAAGATAATGTACTACATTTTTCTTGTGGATGTTTTAGAGGAATTAGATATTTGTAGAGAATCATGGAATAGTCTAGATTTTGTAGTATCTAGAACCATCCATAGGTAGGTATAAATAGGGGATGGTATTGTAAATTTGTAATCAACCCAATAACAACCCAATAAAAGACAATTCAAGAGTCTTCTTCCATAAACAAGTTCTCCTTTCTAACTTCCTCTTCTTTAGTTGAATCTTCCGATCTTAGTTAACGATCTTGGGCTAGTAGAAGGTTTTCCAATTTACACTTTTCTTCTGCTATTCTCTACATGGTATCAGAGTCATAGTCATACGTTGGCTTTTGAATTTTATTCAAGATCGGGTTAGTGGTAGATTCAACTAGTTTGGGTATATAGATTTTAGCGGTCGTGTAAATTGACTAGGGATGGAGTTGTTGAATCAGTCCAATTACAAGGTATGGAAAACATGTATGAAATCATACCATGTAGGCGAGGATTTGTGGGATGCTGTGAATGTGAATAACACAAGTCTTGTTGATGGACTAAAAAATTGTAGCGCATACAAGAAGTGGAAGCAGATTAATCCAAAGGCAGAGTTCATTCTGAAGAGGACAATCTCCTCCGATTTATTTGATCATATTATAAAGTGTAAATCAACTCATGAAATATGGAAGACCCTTGATCGTTTTTTCAACGAGAAGAATGAAGCACGACTGCAGATATTGGAGAATGAATTGGCTAACACCACTCAAGGTAATCTTTCTATCGACGAGTATTTTTAAAATATTAAGAACTAATGTTTTGAGATATGTTTATAGAATCCCGAGGAAGCTATTTCTGAAGCACGAATGAGAAGAATAGTCATTTGTGGCTTGAAACCTGAATATATTTCATTTGTGACATCGATTCAAAAATGTGCTTAACAGCCATCCTTGGAGGAATTTGAGAATTTGTTATCGTCACAGGAGCTATTAGCCACACAATTAGCTGATGTATTTGTCAAAACAGAAAGCAATGCTCTTGTAGCCGAAAAGAGGAACTTAAAAGGAAAAGCTAGAGATATGTCGCACTCTGGATTATCAGGTGGTTCAAGCTCGCCTGGAAATAAGGAAGAGTCTTCTAACTATTATGGTAAGAAGCCTCCCAGATGCTATCGATGTGGCAAAGTAGGACACATAAAAAGATATTGCTGAGCCAAGGAGAGCAATATGTCTTAAATAATTGCTGAAGAAGAAGAGGCTGGGAAAAGTTTTTAGTAGCTGAGGTGCGAGCAATAGATGCTATGGTTTCTATCAACCTTGAAAGAGAGTGGATTGGGGTTTTAGAGTATAATGCAATCAATCACGTGGAGAAGCAAGACACTGATGTCTTCAGTATGAATCAAGAAACTTTCGAAGATGTTCATACTGGTAATTTGATAGCTACTATTAAAGAAATCAAGGAAGTAGATTCTGAACAAGGAGTATCTAGGGCTATATATGCCAACAGTGAGAATTTTAGAGAAAGCAACGAGGGAGATGTATTAGAAGTTGAAATCTCTGATCAATCGTTAGCTATAACAAGGTCAATCGTTTGCTTAGACCAAACATTGGAAGCAAATGGAGAAACTGTTGATCAAATAGATGGAGAAGCTGACCTCCAAGGCCAAATTTCAGCGGTGCGATAGACGATATAACTTTCGAAAGCTCTAAAGCTGCTAAAGATGTTATTGAAGAGTTAGAAAGGGAATCTGGTGATGGATCCTATTATGGTGTCGAGGCTTCACAGGCAATTGACCATCAGATCGTCACTAAATCAAATGAGGAGGCTTATTATATGGATGAAAGTTCCTTTTGTAGGTGTTGTAGATGAATTAGATATTTGTAGAGAATCATGGAATAGTCTAGATTTAGTAGTATCTAGAACCATTCATAGGTAAGTACAAATAGGGAATGGTAATGTAAATTTGTAATCAACCCAATACCACCCCAAACAAAGACAATTCAAGAGTTTTCTTCCATAAACAAGTTCTCCTTTTTAACTTCCTCTTCTTTAGTTGAATCTTCCGATCATAGTTAACAATCTTGGGCTAGCAGAAGGCTTCCCGATTTATACTTTTCTACTGCTATTCTCTACAGAAAGTTACTTGGAAAACTACAGAGTACACAATAATAAATAGTAAGCTATATATCCAAGTAGAGAAGCCAGACCGACCATCACTTGCAGATGGTGTGATTCATGAACTAACAACCAGTACATGATTTCTACATGATATAGGAACATATCAGCATTTACAATTGACAGATCAAACAGTTTTAACTCACGGACTAAGTACATGAGCATACTAAATATTTTCCATGAGACATGATCGAATGCATACCTTGAAATATCTGAAAAATGGTGTTTTAACAAGTTCTTGGAGCAATGGATGTAGTACTTCCTTGTTAAGTTGACTCACCATCCGGTAATCACAGCAACATTTCTTCAAAACCCCACTACTATGCTTGCCTACCCCCTACAATATTTCCACCATCACAAAATCCAACTCAGAGAAAATCCATTTCTATATATTTAAGAGGGAAAAAAAGAATCATATTTTGTACTGCTTGTCATCACTCTTAAGACTGAATTTCATGTACTAGTGATCCATCAGTCCAAAAAAATACAAAAATCTCAGCTTAAAAAGTAGGACTAGAACAAATAGTAAAATATCACCGTTTCAGAAAAGTAAAAATGTTAAGCAAGTCATAAATCCTTTTCTTAGTTTTTCCTCCAAACAGAGAAATCAGAAAGTTACATCTCAATATAGGGAAACATAATCAATCAATCTACTACAGCTCAATCCAATACTATGTGAGAATGCTATATGAATCACCTATATATTGTGCTCCAATCAGACACAGATATTTTTTTTTAGAAACAAGAGCGAATGATCAAAATCACACCTAAAGTATCTCAGGTTTTCAAGTTCCATACCTGAACTATCAAGTGTACTAGTTTTCTAGCAGAACTATCACCAAACACTTATTGAAACACAACTAAATTACAAGTTGTTCCCTTTTCCTACATGTAATATCAGCATCATTCAAGTATGATAAGGGAACAACAAATAATTGAGGTGTGTTTGGATAAATAGGTGGTAAAGGAAGGTCACATAGACATTGATAGTTGAGATATGGAAGTTGAAAAATGGTAACTTCATATCATCATCATCGAAGCGTAAAATAATCCCAAGATGAATTACAATAATATGAGCTGAATGATTATGATTAAAGCAGAAAAACAACCTGAATACACATGCAACTTTTGCCAGTATTTCTGTTATCGTATAGAGTACTACTGAGTAAAATAGCAAAGAAAATAACAAGTAAAGCACCAATTAACCAATACAATTGAATTGCAGGGTTCTTCTCCTCGTCAATTTCGTGATTTGCCATCCCGATTTTGAAAAAAGAAACAGAACAAGAGAGAATATTGAAGCAGAGTTTTGGTCGGTTAGAAAAGCGGTAAATATGAAGGAAGAAATGGAGAAGATGATGAATAAAAGGTGGGAAGGAACAAAAAATGGAAAATGCGGGCGGTTTCTTAACGGTCTGTCTCATATGAAAACAAAGACAAAAATAAGGCAAAATATAGTAAATACTGTCTTTATGTCATCATCCTTCATTTTATGCTTTTCATCTTCTTCTTTTTTCTTTTTCTTTCTTTTTCTATATGACTTTTTTTATTTAAGATTTGGGGAAGTGCACGACATGATTTTTGAGATGATCTAATGCATTTAGGGAAATAAATTTAATTTGAAAATTAAAAAAATTGACCAAACTCTATTTTTTTAATTAACGAGGTCAAATTTGAATTTTAATGATTTTATTAAGTTCAAAAGGTGATTTTATGAATTGATGTACGTTTTGCGTGAAATATTGAGACTTTCGAGATTGATTTGTATCTTTAATTAGGTTTCTAGTTAAGTTTAAAAATTTGGGTTGATCAATGCTCAAGAAGAACCAATCAGTTAAGCAAGGCATCAACCTTTTTCTTAATTTTATCTTCAAATAAAGAAATCAAAAAATTATATCCCTAACATAGAAAAATACAATCAATCAATTAACTATGACTCAATTTAAAACTAACAAAAACATGTTATGAATCTTAAAGGGATAATGTATGAGTATCTCCCTAAAGTATGACTAAACTCTCAGTAACACACCCATATTTAACTAGAGTCATATTACCTCCTAAATTATTTTAAAACAGAATAAACATACCCCAAAAGTTGACATGACGGGGAGAGTGTGGAGATAATTTGGTGTTGTACCCACCAACAAAACTTATTTTAGTCCATAGACACCCAATTTATTTTTGATTTATTTTGTAGGGTTAGGTTAAGAAAAAGTGAAAAAGTGGGGTTGGGTTGTGGGGTCAGGGACATCACTTTACAAACTTGGGGGATAAAATACAAGTTTTATAAAATCATTTTCTTCCCAACACTTCAAATATTAAATAAATTTAATCCCTCCAAAAATAAAGTACAATCCCCATATAAAAAAAATTAATAACTTCAATATTAGAAAACTCTGTTCCGATGAAACCTCAGAAGTTCTCAGAACATCTTCTCCAATGTGGCTTTTGATCTTCCATATACCAGCTTTATCGATAACATAAACCTCCATAAAACACCTTCTCCAAGAACCAACCTTTCCATCTTCCATTCTTGAAACCATAAACAAACGTAAGATTTCATATTCATTTATGAAGATTTCAAACGAAGTGAATCAGGTCTCTTTTGTTCAATCTTCTTCCCTAAGTTCAGTTGAATCTTGTTCAATCTTCTTCCTCTCAGGTAAGTTTAATCATATTTC